GTGTGGTACACAGGGAGCAGGGATATGGTGTAATTATTAACCTGCCTCCTCCACACAGCCTGCGGCAGACACTAGGGTAGGAGGCTGGGCTCCGCATGCGGTAGGATGCTGGGCAGGCGGGAAGAGGCTGGGCTCTGCTGGGCTGCGCTGAAGGTAGGGAAGGCCACGCTTCAAGAAGTAACTGGCTGGTCAGCCTAACATTGCACCCCCAGGGCCAGTGCGCCGCCTTATGGTAGCGCCGGCCCTGGTTATAAGAAGACTACCTGATACTTTGAGTTATTTAAAAATCTAGGTAATTAGATTTAGCATTAGTGCTTATACCTCTTTCACTTTTTTTTAAAATTCTTTATTTGTAGGGTTTTCTCCTTGAAATTAGGAGGGAGGGGAGAGGGGTACAGAAAATAAAAAAGGGGGGGGTGGGTGGGGGTTGTTCAAGACTTAATAGTACTTTCAAGTTTAATGTCCGTACCAACGCAGGGTACTGTTGCATATTGGAAATTGCTTACATACGTATCAACATGGTATTAGCATTATGTCTTCCTTGAACGCTAAGTTAAGTTCCCTGTCATTTCTGCGTTCTTAAGGGACAGGTTTTGTCTCTCGTCGACTCTTTGTGAGTCTTGTCTCGTTATGTATAGGCACAATCTTGTCCGAGTCGAGGAGTGGTTTAGGGTTAGGGTTGTGGAATAGGACGGTGTGGGCATGGGGGGGAGGATTCGCGGTCCGCGGGCCACCCAGCGTGCGGGTCCCTCTCGGGGGTCCCAGGTTAGTGTTTGGGGCTATGTGGTTAGGTGAGGGTTGTTCTGTTTGGGAGGTAAGTGATATCCTCTATTGGGGGATCTCTATGTTAGGAGGGGGCAGTTAATATCCCGCCGTGTTACCACGGGATGGTCGTGTCTCCCTCCAGCCATGGGTCCCATATTTTGTGGAATTTTTTGGGCGAGTCGTGAATTTGTGCTGTGAGCCTATCCATTTGCATGCTATCTATTATCTTCTTGGTTATTGTTTCTTGTGTCGGTATGCGGTTTGTTGACCAGACTTCTGCTATGGCTCTACGTGTTGCTAGGGCTATGCGGGCGGATAGCTTATTTTCAGCTCTAGTGTATTGGTCTATTGGCTTGGAGAGTAGGAGCATCCAAGGGTCTACGGGGCAAGGTTTGTCTATTAATTTGGAGATTAGGCGTGTGGTGTCTTGCCAGAGTGGTTGGAGTTTCGGGCACGTCCACCAACAATGGAGGAACGTTCTCGTCTCTCCGCATTGTTTCCTGCAAGTGTTGGTTGGTATTTGGTGCATGATGGCCAGGCGTTGGGGGGTGAGGTACCAACGGAATAGCATTTTGTAGGCTTGTTCCGTGTGTGTAACACATATGGAGATGGAGGCCGTTGCCTCCCAGATGTCTGACCAATCTGTTGTTTCATCTGGGGGCCCGAGGTCTGCCTCCCACGCTGCTATGTATGGGAGAGACAGTTGTGTGTGGTTGGTCGCTAAGGTTGCGTATATGTCGGAAATTTGTCCTTGTCTGTTGGGGTGCGCAATGCAGTCTCTTTCAAATCGATTGAGTTGAGCTGTGCCGGCTTGTTTTATGATTGGAGTCTCTGCAAAGCTGCGCAATTGTATGAATCTAAAGTGATCGAATGAGGTGAGTGAGGATGAGTCTTTGATATCCGCAAATTTTATAATGTCGTTGTCTTGGTACAAATGCCCTAGACGGGAGATGTCCCTGTGTTCAAAATGAGCGAAGTGCTTGGGGGTAAGTCCCGGTGGGAATAGCCTGTTCCTCCATATGGGGGTCATAGGAGATAGGAACGATGACAGTTCAAATTTGTCCCTCATTTTGTCCCATGTGTCAAGCACATGGGTGATTGAGGGAGCAGTGGGAGGGGGTAGGGGTCTATGTGGTTTGGGTACCCACATGTACAGGGACGGATGGTCCCTACCGAAAATGATGTGTTCCAAGTCCACCCATCTTTTCTCCCCTGGTGGGACGTGCCAGTGTTGTATCTGCGTTAGGTGTGCTGCGGTGTGGTAATGTGTGAAGTTTGGTAGTCCTAGTCCCCCGTGTTTCTTGGGTACGTATAGTGTGTTTCGGCGTACTCTGGGTTTGTGTCCATTCCAGATGAATGTGTCAATGGCTGTTTGTAGTGCCTTAAAGTCTTGTTTTTGGATCGGTATGGGGAGGGTTTGGTATAGATATAAGAATCTGGGTAGGAGATTCATTTTGATGGTGGCGATGCGCCCCAGCCATGAGACCCCTAGTGATTTCCATTTAGTGAGGTCAGAGTGAGCTTTTTGTAATAAGGGGGTGTAATTTGTTTTATAAAGAGTGGTGATGTCTGTTGGGAGTTGAATCCCTAGGTACGTCATCGTTGTGTGGCAGATCCTCATCGGGCATATTTGTTTGAGTGTAGCTATGTTTGGAGCGTCTATTTGTATTGGGAGGAGCTCTGATTTGTTCAGGTTGATCTTGTACCCTGACAGGTCTGAGTATTCTTGGATGAGAGTTAGGAGCGAGTGTATTGATTTTTCCGGATTTGTCAGTGTTAGCAGGATGTCATCTGCGTAGGCTGAGATTTTAAAGGTTTCTCCCCTGATCGTTAGCCCCTCTATGTCATGGCTGGCACGCACCGCTTGCAGTAGAGGTTCTAGTGATATGGCGAATAATAGGGGGGACAAAGGGCACCCCTGTCTCGTGCCATTTGAAATGGGGAATTGTGGTGGGGGGATGTTAGGTAGTAGAAGTGCCCCTTGGGGAGAGTGGTAGATGGCATGCACAAAAGAAGTAAACTCGGGTGGTATCCCTATGTATGTTAGCGTATGGTAGAGGAACGGCCAGAGCAAGCGATCAAACGTTTTTTCCGCGTCCAGTGAGATGATCGCTGTAGGGATTCGTCTGTGGTTAGCCAGCCATATGAGGTCAATGGCTCTCCGGGTGTTGTCCGCGGCGTGTCTATGCGGGATGAATCCCACTTGATCTGGGTGTATGAGGGATCCTAGGTATGGGTTTAAGCGGTTGGCCATAATTTTGGTCATGATTTTGAGGTCTACGTTGAGTAAGGAAATTGGTCTGTAGTGTGCGGGTTCAGAGTGGTCCTTGCCGGGTTTCGGGAGGAGGCAGATGTTTTCCCCTGTCATTTCCGGTGGGAGGTTCTCTCCCTTGAGTGCTGCGTTAAAGACCGCGCATAGATGTGTATAGAGTAGTGGGCCGAATTCTTTGTAATATAGGGCTGTGTAGCCGTCCGGCCCTGGGCTTTTATTTGGTTTGAGGGATCCCACTGCTATGGCCATTTCTTCTGTCGTGACGTCTTGGCTCAGGGCTGCTTGGGCCTCTTGCGTTAGGGTGGGTAGCGTCGTGCTTTGTAAGAATGTGTCTATGCGTGTGGACAGCGGTGGGCTGGTGTCATGGGGTCGTTGGTCGTGGTTGTAGAGGTCCGTGTAATAGTCCTGGAAGACTTTTCCTATACTAGTTGGGCAGTCTGTGAGAGTACCATCGTTCGTGCGTATCTTTGTGATGCGTTTAGCTTCAGTTCGCTTTTTAAGTCTGCGGGCAAGCATGGTGTCCGCCTTGTTACCCTTTTCATAATATTTTTGTTTGAGCCACATCAGAGCTTTGGCTGTGTCTGCTTGTGTAAGGGTGTTAAGGAGGTTTCTGATCGCCGTGAGTTTGGACAGGGTGGTCGGGTTAGGGTTCTTTTTGTGTTCCGTGTCTAGTCGGCGGAGGTCTGTCATCGTTTCTAGTATTTGTCGTTGTGTTTGTCTTTTTTTATGGGTGGCTAGGCTGATGAGTGTGCCTCTGATGACTGCTTTATGTGCTGTCCAGAGGGTCATAGGTGAGGTCGTTGTGGGTGAGTTTAACTCGAAATAATCTTTGATTGCGATAGTTATTTTGTCTCTGATCAGTTGATCGTGGAGGAGTATTGGGTTAAGTCGCCATGACCAGTGTGTATGTATGGTTGGTAGGCTTAGAGTGATTGCTATCTCGGCATGGTCGGACCAGGAGATAGGTCCAATCTCCGATTTGGTGATTTGAGATAGTAAGTTTGGTGAGATGAGAAAGTGGTCAATGCGTGAATAGGATCTGTGTGGGTGGGAGTAGAAAGTGTAATCTTTGGTGGTCGGGTGTTGTGCCCTCCATATGTCAATCAGTTTATGGGAAGCCAGGAATTGTGCGAAGAGGGCGTCGCTTTGGTTTGGGCGAGTTCGTGTTTTGGCGCTTGAAGCCCGATCTACGGCAGGTGTGTGTACTGCGTTGCAGTCCCCGCCCACTATAAGTCGTGTGGTTGAGTACGTGTTGAGGTGAGTCGCTAATTGTTGCCAGAAGGTTGGGTCTGGTGTTGTGGGTGCGTAGAGCGATGAAAAGGCGTACTGTGTTGTGCCTATTTTTCCCCGTATGGTGATGTATCTACCCTGCGGGTCTTTGGAGCAAGTGATATCTGTGAGGGGGCTGTTTGCTCTCAAAAGGATCGCTACACCTTTGGTCTTGGTGTCTGGGGAGGGAGCATGGAAGCTTTGTGTGTAGTATCTGTTAGTGAGGGGGAACATGCGGTTGATTGTGAAGTGGGTTTCCTGTATGAGGACTATGTCAGCTTGCTGTTTATGTGCCCAGCGTAGTATGCCGTGCCTCTTGTTAGGGGAGTTCAACCCCTTGGCGTTGATGGAGATGCAGCGTATTTGTGTAGGCATGTTATCTGTAGGAGCGTGGCGGTCTCTGCGGTTTTGCAGGAGTGTCTTGAGTTGCACGTCCGGGTGGCCGCGGGCCGCGAGGGGTGGGGGAAAGGGGGGGCAGGAGGGTTGAGGGTGTTAGCCTGGGTTAAGGTAGTGGGGGGGAGAAATGGGTAGAGTGTGCTACTGGGCTTATCCGAAGGCCAGTAGGTAGTGGGGCGAAGCGTCCGACCGCTCCGTGGGTTTCCCCGTGAGTTCGGGTAGGTGTGTGTGTGTCTGGGGTTGGCGACCGTCCGGTCTGGGTCGTCCAGAGGCAGTTTTCAGTAGTCGTCCGCGTTACCTTGTGTGCTGTGGTCGGTCAGCGTTGTGAAGGCGTTGCGTCCGCGAGGGTAGCCCTCTGCGTGTCGTGCTGTGTGTATGTAGGGTTGTACCTTGTGAGCCCGTGGGGCGTTGGTCTGGTCGTTAATGCATCTAATAATGGTGCCGTGGTGAGGGTGTGCTGTCACCGTCCAGTCGTAAGATGTCGTCAGGATGCCGTCTGCTGTAAGTGGCGTTCGTCAGCACTTGAGGTGGGGTGGGGTGTGTCGGGTAACTGAAAAATAATGAGTAACAGTTTTACATTGTAACACAACAGTTTAACATCAACTTCAATTCAGTTATATACATTTCCTCTGCTTTAGTATCCAGGGGTTCCTGTGTTGCGTATCTTCCCCTATGGTGTCTCCCTGTGGGGAGCCCTAGGAGGTCCCTGGGCTAGGGAGGCTGAAGGAATGGGGGGGTTGGGTGATAGCTACACTTTCCCGGTCCCTCGGTTGCCTGGTGTTTTGTCTTTGCAAGTCTTGTGGGTTAGTGTGAGACCCTCCCTGTATTGGTCAGGTCCTATCCTTGGTGGTGCCCCAGCTTGCATTGGGCCCTAGGGGTTGTATGTGCTCTGGGTGTGCCTGTCTAAGTCCTGCTGTTTCCCAGGGCGTGCCGTTTGTGCTCATTCTCTCCGGTGCTCGTGGTGTTGTCCCCGATTTTCTGTGTGGAGGGTGTGCCTACATCTCCTGGGTCCCAGTGTGTTTTGTGCGGGAGCAGAGTATGTTCCTGGATACTGCTTTATGGGGTCTCCTGGGGAAGTGTTTACGCTCACGGGAGCCGTCAGTGTTTTGAGGTGTACTCCCGAAATTTGTCTTGTATTGGGCGCCTGCTATGCCCATTATTGGAGGGTGCCCCAGCCATCCCTCCCTGCCCAGAGTGTGCCTCCCTATGGGTGTCTGTTCCGTTTTTGTGCTAGGTTGTGGTATTTTATGCTGCGGTATCTAGGGTACCTATGTGGTGGGTGAATGTGGGGCAGCTGTTCCATTTTGCACCCTGGGTGGCAGTGGTCTATGTCTACGTGGGTTGGTGCCAAGCAGGGTACTAGTGCGTGCTATCCACATTCCTGAGTCTATAATTTCCATTTATGGAAGGATGCCTAGTGACTGGAGACATATAAGTACTGTCTACCGAATGAGTCCTAGCAACCAAATAGTGAACAGGAAACATTATATAAAGCAAGGAGAGAGTTTGTTAATTATAGCTTATCTGGCGCTTGGAGTTGTCAGCGGTTTAGGCTGTTTCCAGTCCATTATCAAGGTGTGGGATTGCCAATGTTCTTTAGTCAGTTCAGGTTTCGTGTTCGGGTACTTTGTCAGCTGTGGTGACCAGGATCCTCTTGAGAGTAGTCCGTGTCGTTTCTTATTTCTTATTTGGTATGTCGGTCCTCTGTTGGTGTGTCGAGTGGTGAGTGGTTGTCGGTCCGTTTAGTTGTCGGCCCTGATGCGTGGGCTATTCGGTATCTGGCGTGCCGGGGCTGTCGGTGGTGCATTTCTGGGCGGAGGGCCTCTGTCGTGTCTTCTGGGATTCGGGTCCGTGGTGAGAGTTGTGGGATCCAGGCCGAGGCTCTCTGCGAAATCTGCCATTTCCGCGGTGTTGTATAGGGTGTAGGTGCGGTTGTTCTTCCGGACCTGCAGCTTAAATGGGTGCCCCCATGAGTAGCGGATGTGTTGTCTCGTGAGCTCCTGAGTGAGGGGCCGCAGCTCCCTCCTTTTGCGCAGGGTGCTCGGGGCCAGGTCCTGGTAGAAGGAGATTTGGTGACCTTCTATTTGTAGGGGGGTGTTTCGTGCCGCTTGCATGAGTGCTTCTTTAATGTGGAAGTAGTGCACTCTTATGATAACATCCCTGGGTTGGGTTGCATTGGGCATAGGTGCTCGGAGAGCCCTGTGCACTCTATCTAGTAGGAGTTCCGCCGGTGTGGCCTCTGGGAGCAGGCCACAAAAGAGCTCTCGCAGCGTTGGGCCCAGTGCCTCTATTGTGACCGTTTCTGGTATTCCACGTATCCTGACGTTATTTCGGCAGGACCGGTTGTTCAGGTCCTCTTGTGCCTCCTCTAACTGTCGGAGCTGTTCTTGTAGGGCGGTTATGGCATTTTCAGTTGCTGTTGTGCGTGTAACTGTCAGGTCCAGTTGTTCCTCAATTGTGGAAGTTCTGTGGGTCAAATCAATCAGGCCTTCTCTGATGGGTGTGAGGTGCCTGTCAAATTCTGTAGCCATATTTGCCTTAATGTCACTTAGTAGCTGGCGGAGGTCCTCTTTGGTGAGGGGTGTAGCTGCCATTGTTCTGCTCCTGTCACTTGAGTCTGAGTCATATTCGCGGCCATCTTCTTCCTCCCGCGTGGCGCCGCCATCTTTGCGGCTCCGGAATATCGGAGCTACTTCTGCAGCTCCCTGCTTTATTTTCCGCCCGCCCCCCATCGTTATGTGGTGAGGTACCGTGGGTGAGCTGCGAGGTGGCCGGGTGGGTGTGTGAGAGCCGGTTGCGGGTGCTGATGATTGCCGGGTCTGTGCCTCCGAGGACGGAGCTCCCTCAGAAAGCCGCCATTCGCGCCGGAAGTCAGGCGCCGCCCCCCACCTCTTTCACTTTTATCTAACACTACTAGTTACTTTGCTTGGGGTCTATCTCTTGATACTCTCTCCACACATTTTCCATTTTTTTTTTACCTTCTTTTGGATCAACAGCAAAAAACAAACATGAGAAAGGCTGAACTTGATGAATGCATGTCTCTTTTCAGCTATGTAACTATGTACTATGTAAATGCCATTTAGTCAATACACCCAGTTAGAGTTATCTTACCTGACTTGCTACTCTTTACCAGATTTCAATGCTGATGATTTACTGTATGTAAGGGCACTTGCCAGAGAATGCTCTTTGAGTAGTGGGTCAACTGCCATTATCTTAGATGTCTTATACAGCTAGTTGATTAATTTTGATACATTACTCTTTGAAATTCAGGTGGGTATCATAGCTTCTTTATGTGACAGTTGTTTTTCTAAAAAAAATTCTAACAAGCAGATACATTCGATACAGTGAGCTATTATATTGTTACTTTCTGCTTAGTTTTAAGGGGTTACTATAGTCACCAAAACCAATACAGATTAATGTAGTGGTTCTGGTGTCATGGCCTGTCCCTGCAGGCTTTTCAATATAAAAACTGCCTTTTTACATTGCTGCCTAGTAACACATCAAGGGGCATTTAGAAAACATAGAGGTGTTTTGTAGTTCAGTGTACAGTATGCAGCACCTAGGTACAGCGTCTCCACGCTCTGCATAGAGACACTGAAAGCTCCCCATAGAGATGCATTGCTTAAATGCATCTCTATTAGGAGATGCTAATTGGCACAGTGTGGTGTTGTGCTACGAATGCACAAAATCCTCTTAAAGCATTGGATTGGCTGAGATCATTGAGATTGATGATCTGAGCCATGGACGTGGAACCTGGTGTGGCCAGGCATGGCAAGACTAGCATGGCATGGGAGAAAAGGTGACTAAAATCAAGTTTTTACTGCAATCTAAGTAGGGCTGGGAACCTTAATAGTTAGTTTGTATATACATTTGCATTCCTGACAATATAGTAATACATTAAGCTCCCATCACAATCAAGATCCTCTATTTATTTGGTGTGCACCCTGCTAACCATATTCGCTGTATGTCTTGACTGTATGATTTATACATTAGTTTAAAGAAACACTACAGCGTTAGGAATACAAATATGTATTCCTAAAGCTATAGAGCCCTAGTCACCGTTTAGGTGACTAGGGTCCCATTCTGTGGTGAATAAAAGGTTAATTTTAATTTAAAGCGTATCAATTAAACTGTTAATAGCTCCCGACTGATTCCTCTCTTGCAACGGTCACTAGTCTAATACTATCCTTACCTTTTGTGTCACTTTACCCCACTCCCTCTAGCATGTAAGCTCATTGAGCAGGGCCCTCAGCCCCTCTGTTCCTGTGTGTCCGGCTTGTCTGGTTACAACTACATGTCTGTTCGTCCAACCACTGTAAAGCGCTACGGAATTTGTCGGCGCTATATAAATAATAACATAATAATAGCAATTAACCATTTATTTGCTTACCCTAATTCAGCGTTGGGCTACCTCGGCACTGGTAACCTCTCCTCCTCCATCGACTTCAGCTTCTGAGTGGAGCAGAATGCGAATACATGGCCAGAGGCGCGAGCACATTCAAACCCACCCATAGGAAAGCATTACTCAATGCTTTCCTATGGGGATCTTTTTTGACACTGGACTCCGCTAAGTTTTCAGCTGCAGGGTTAAAACTAGAGGGACCTGGCCACCCAGCAGCACCTCTGGACCCCAGGGAATCCCCTCAGCACTCCCAAAGGTAGGGAGGCTGGGGGATTACATTTTTTTTTTAAAAGTGTGTGTGTGTGTGTTAGTGAGTGTGTGTGTTAGTTAGTATTAGAGTGTGTGTGTTTTTGTGTCAGTGTGTGTTAGTTTGTGTGTGTCAGTGAGTGTTTTACTGTGTGTGTGTTACTGAGTGTGTTAGTTTGTGTGCATCTGTTAGTGAGTCTGTTTGGTGTCTGTTAGTGAGTGTGTGTTTTGTAAGTGAGTGTGTGTGTATGTGTCTGTCTGTCAATGAGTGTGTATGTATGTCTGTCACTGAGTGTGTGTCTGTCAGTAAATGTGTGTGTCTGTTAGCTAGTGTGTATGCGTCTGTTCGTGAGAGTGTGTGTGTGTGTCTGTTAGCTAGTGTGTATGCGTCTGTTTGTAAGAGAGTGTGTGCGTGTCTTCAGCACTTACCTTTCTCCAGCGCAGGACTCCCTTGGCGCTGGGGATCCCTCCGCCCCGATCCGCCTCTCAGCTCCGAAAGCACATGCGCGGCAAGAGCAGCGCACGCATTCAAAACGCCCTTAGGAAAGCATTACTCAATGCTTTCCTATGGACGTTCAGCGTCTTCTCAATGTGATTTTCACAGTGAGAATCGCGGAAGCTCCTCTAGCGGCTGTCAATGAGACAGCGACTAGAGCTGGATTAACCCTCAGTGAAACATAGCAGCTTCTCTGAAACTGCTATGTTTTCAGCTACAGGGTTAAAACTTGAAGGACCTGGCACCCAGACCACTTCATTGAGCTGAAGTGATCTGGGTGTCTGTAGTGGTCCTTTAAGTGTATGTGTATCTGCATGCACTGGTGTACATACCGCGGTCGCAGGGGTTGCAGCCCTGCGACCAGGTGTTGCAGCCCCGGCCCGCGCAGAGTAAGCACGGGGGGCCCACAGATCAGTTTTCGCAACGGGGCCCCATGGGTTGTGTGTATGCCACTGGGTGCAGGTAACATTTTTAGCTTTGTTATTCATTTATTTTTTAATATATTTATTCTGATGATCATAGGGATGTGGGATAGTATGCAGTTGACCGTAGCCCCTTGAACACACATATTCAGTTCAATAAAGCCTTTTGGGACTTCTAGAGGTTTAAGTAAAACTAAAAACATAATTAAACTCTCCAGATTGTCCTCAGTGTAATTATTCTCCTATAATGCATTCTTCATCATTATGTACCCACTATAAATTATACAGATGCATTGTGTAGGTATTTGTAATAAAAAAAAAATATTTTTTTAAACATTCAATATTTGTATATTTTCTGCAGGTGTGTAATTGTATTGTAACAAATTGGTTAATATGGTCTCAAAGCTACAATCAGAAGTACACATAGGCTCTTCCATATTTTCAAATCCCATATTAGCAAACACATGCTTACATGTACAGAACTCTATAAAACAACACGTGTACTTTTGGATAAATATACAAAATTATTATTTTTATTATTTTTGACATGTATAAAACTACACAAATCACTAAAAAAAATTGAAAAAAAACCCCCAAAGATAATAAGCATTAACACATTGCACATTTTGCATTAAAATACAACTATTAAATACAATGAACATCCAATAGTATATAAATAATTTTATAGTATTTATATTTAAAAACCAACAATAATTTCACATGACTTTATTTGTTTAATTAGGTAAAGTTTATCATACTAATAGTATATATTACATATATTGCATATACGTAATTGTTCTATTTTGCGGATGTTCCTCCTACAGTAATGAATTCCCTCACTATAAATAAATAACGCTCATTTCAAACAATGCAGCACGGTTAGCCTGTAGAGAAGATATAGTAGTATTATTTAAGAGATTCTGAATTAAGATAAATGTGATACTTTGTGTTCTACGTTCTATAAGATTCCCCCTTCTTCTTCAGCCCCCGTGAATCTCTTTTTGTGTTTAGTTGCACAGTTGATGTTAATGTGGTTTTATACGGGAATGCCAGCTACCTGCCAGCAATCAGTCTCGGCACTATCTCCAGCTGTCAGACAGTGGCAGTCAGTCCATGTCTTTCACCGTGTGTCTGCCCCTGTAACCCGCACCTCAGCTCAGCCTGGCTGGCTTGGCAAGGGCCGAATGTGGCAACCAGCCAATGGGAGGGCGGGAGGCGCCGGAAACTCCTGCTCCAGCCAGGGAGGAGGAAGGGGACTCTGCGGCTGCTGTTCTGATCATTACAGCTGCGGGGAGATAGGAAAGTAGCCGGCTCTCCCTGGGCCTTATTGTGTCTGCCTTGAAGGATGTCATCAGACCGGGCTGGTGCCCTCCATCAGAGAGGAGAGCTCTGTGACACAGCATAGTGTATACAGGCTGGTGTTCAGTGCAGCCCTGGAGCACTGTGTGAGTAACCTGCATCCTTTCCATAGCCATCAGCAGACTGCCCCAGCCATCATTAGTCATACTCACCATGCACATCTGTCACATCCAGCCACAATGGGTCATACTCAGCATTACTCTAAAGGCAGATAGAGTATATATATATATATATATATATATATATATTATTTTTTCTTGCATGCAGCATGACTACATATGCATAATTTAGCATTTGTAAGAAATGATGCAGTTTTTAAACATTCTCTATGTGTGTATTATTTGCAGGTATGCATTTGTTACTGTATTGCAAAGCCTTGGTGAATATGATCTCACAGCTACAATCAGAAGTACATGTTCATGTTGGCTCTCCACATTTTGGAGTTTATTCACTAAACTGGAAATTTGGGAGAATTCACTAGGGAATAACAAATGGTAGGCCAAAGTGCTGAGTTGGAGAATGCATCAAAATTCATTTTTGTTGGCACATAATGTGCAGCTGATTTGTTCTTTACCTGAACTAACTGACATAAGATGTAGAGTGGAGTAATATACTGTAGGGAATGGGGATGAGATGCTGAAACTGTTTTTGTATGAAATTAGAAATCGACGTGAAAAAATAAGATCTGAAGTGTTAAAATAATCTGAGGACTTTGTTCTGCGAAACATATTATGCCATCTGAAGATTCAAGTTTTAGCATAGTCTTCTATGGAAGAATAATTATTCCTGATATTACGCCACGGATAA